ATATATATAAACACAGCCATCACATATTTAAGGTTTTCTTTCTTTTGAGTTTTTTTGTTGAGGGCCCCCCCACCACCACCACCACACACACACACACACACTTCTTAAAACCAAAGTTAAACCTTTAATTCCAACTAATTGCTGCGTAACATAGAGAGTTTTCAAGTTAGTGCACAGCAGGTCAGCTGCAATTTATCTGCAGGCAAGCCCACAATTATACATATATCAAGTTTATATATATATATATATATATATATATATATATGTGTGTGTGTATATATATAGAGAGCATTTCCTTCAAGGAAGCCAACCACTGTTTATAAAATCAACACAGCTCAGTTGTAACTACTAGTTGTATCTGTCTCTGAACTTTGTCTCTATTTCATTATAATTAGCACCAAATCACATTCTGTTCTGGATACTTTCTGGGAAACTGTTATAAAATGACAGAGCCCTAAAACAATCTCAAATGCTGTATATATTAAGTATTAAGTTATTTACATTTTGACCACCTCTACTTCAGTCAAAATTTACAAGTTGCTCATTTTCTGAAATAGTTTTAGCTCTGATTCAGTGAGTCTAAAGTTTGTTATTCTGCCTCTGTGGATGTAAAATGTGTCGCATTGAGTTCACACAGTAAGGGAAGTGAAACGTCTCCCTGCTGGAGACTCATTGGCTCTCCTCACATGCTCTGCAGTGAGTCCTGGATTACACCGCCGAGTTCTGCGTGACACCATCTCAGACGTATCACGAACACGACATCACCGTCACACCAACGCGGTCCGGGGTCGAGTCACGTGACCGGAGGAGCAACCCAGACATGAGAGAATCTTCTCTCAGATTATTACACACTGCTGAACTCTGTCATGTGGGGGACCTTCCTCAGCGGACCGTTTTAGGTCCAGAGTCCCTCTGAAGGAAACTCTCTCTCTCTCTGCACGTCGGTAATATCTTTGCAGCGTGCGGTGGGAGAGTACTTTCTTAATGACAGGGGAAGCCTGAGCCGACTCCGCGGCCTTCTGCGTAAACAGGCGTAGCTGGCTGCCATCTGGTTGGCCTCCACTTCAGAGCAGAGAAGCCCGTTCACCGATGATCGGCACCGGTTCCAGCTCCACTCACTGCCAGAGCAGAATGTTTGGGGTGTTGACCCTAACTCACACCCTCACGATGAAGAGGATCAGTTCAAAATATATATTTTCTCACTTACTTCTGAAAGATGTTTAGCCAGACAGAAAGTTCTGGTCTGGTTCCGACATCTGTCTTTTGTAATATTAATGGTATTTGTGTGAAACCTTTATGCTGCGTCTTGGCCGAGAAAAAGAGATTTTAATTCTCAATGGGATCCTCCAGGATAAATAAAGGTTAAATAAAATAAACAAATGGAGGTGAATGAGAATTTTGAGGAGCTCACAGTTTTGACAAAATTCTGCAGTATCATTTCCACCAGAAATAATGTCCCCGTAACTTATATGGACTATGTATTTTGTAGAAAGTAATGAAAACCAGAACTTCACAACTAATAATTTAATAATGTTTCTGTTGATCAACCTATTGTGTGTTTCTCAATAAAACACCAGGAAATAGTGAAAATAGTACGACGAAAAATTGAATTAATCTCTATATCCCACAACCTCAGATTAACCTTTTTTCTGACTTGTTTCTGGCCATTTTATGGCTTTATTTAACAGTGACAGTCGAGAGAGACCGGAAACATGAGAATGACACGCAGCATACGGTCCGGTCTGGGAACCGAACCGCAGACCCGCGATCATGTGGAATGCGCCTACCCTTTAACCTTCCCAAGGAGGCGTAGTGTATTACATTTTCACATTAAATAATGTGGTGATATTTCTGTGAGCAAAATATCGATACCTTGAGATTGAAAGTTTAATAACAGTAGTTGACAAAGCGATCTCATCAAAAGGTCCATTTGAGAGCTGTTCTGGAGCTTCATCTGCAGATGGAGTTTGCCCAAATGTACAAATAGCATTTAGCAGCTAAAGAGACAGATATTACCCTCAGGAGGTGGTGGAGACCAAAAACAGAGCTAAAGAGAATATTGCCCTTAAAGTCATAATCCTTGAGATTGTCATGAAAATGATAATGCTGTGTCGTAACTGCTGGATGTGGAAATATGCAGCTGCTCGCTAATAAGTTCAGAAAGTTGATAGGTCTAAGTTGTGACCAAAATTTGTCAGTTATTGGAGGATTGAGTCCTCAAAGAGCTCAGGAAAATGGCCCCCACCCCGATTTACTAGCTGTGGGTGTAACGTCAGGAACACTTCAAGCTTGCTTATCCTAAAACAGATGAGTGGTGCAGCCACACATCTGCTGCACTGCCTCCTTCCTCCTCTCCGGGACAAACACACGTCTTTATTTGTGAGATCTAACGCTTTCACAAAAACCACACAGAGCGAGTGTGCGGGTGACAGCAGAACATTCAAACACAAAAACAGTCGGTCTGTGGGAGAAAACACTCAGCCGCGACAAAAGAAAGGCTTTCCGCTCCTGCAGCAGTTTCACTTCTGCGACGCGAGTTTTATTTGAATCACAAAGAAACAAAAAAGCTTTTTCTCAAAGCGTCGACACTGAATGCACCGACAAATAAATGAAAAGGAGAAAAAACAGATGAAGCTGCACAAAACGACAGGAAAACAACATTAAAATGCAAAGACGTTTAGTAATTCTGCACCGCGTCGTTATCCAGATAAGCACACAAACATGCGCAACTTCTGACCAGTTACACCCTCCAGTTCCCATGACCGCGTTGTGTGTGTGTGTGTGTGTGATACAGCGAGTGTGTGTTGTGCCAACAGACTGTGGGAGGCAAACAGAAGAGAATAAAAGAAAAGAGAAAGAGAGCAAAGCCGAGCGAGAGCGAAGAGCAGAAAGAGAGAAGTGAAGCAGAAGCAAACGTCGCTCCCTGAAGGACTCGCTCTCATTGCTACTTCATTAGTCTCCACCTTGCATTTGACCCACGGCGAAAGTAGCGGCAATGACACCGCCACTATGCAAGCCAGACACACACACACACACACACACACACAGGAATGCTGCTTCTGTTATTGTCTTTAAATGCTAAACTCAGGCCAAGGCCTCGCCAGGGTTTGAAAAACAAAATAACAGCCGTGCAAAGCTCTCACACACACACACACACACACACACACACACACACACACACAAAAAAACACCACTTCCGTCCATTCTTTCGCACAGAGAAAGGAAGTCGAAGCTGGCCCGGCCCCAGACGTCCAGACGGAGGTAGCCCCCCCCCTCTCACCATGCTTCACTTGGTGGTAGATGTAAAGAGCCACTTGAAGTGTGAAGAAGTACTTGATGTTTTTCTGGTAAATCTGCTGGAAATGTGAAATACTGCGCGTTTTTTTAAATAATTCTCTCTCACACGTCACTTGAAATTAAAGCTATAAGTTCATTTCATGTCACAACTTCACAGGCAATCTCACCGTGTATGTAAATCAGAATATATCATCACAAATCAAGGCACCAGTGGTGGAAGAAGTAAGTGTAGTGACGTGTACCTGAGCAGAGAATGAAGTCACTCTGTGTGTGTTTTTATCAGAGCTTCTCCGCTAGCTGTTAGCTGCTAGCTGCCGGCTCAGCCGTCGCCATGTTGAGAGCCCAGTGGAGGCAATAGATCTGCTCTGAATTTCCTGTTGAGCACTTTTACGTGAAAGTATCAATACTATAGCATAGAAATACTAAAGTAAAAGTCCTGCATTGAAGTTCTCCGACACGCTCGTCAAACTGTGGTAACGTGAGTTGCAGTTTAAAACTCTGGTACCACCAGACGGAAATACTCAACTACAAGTACCTCAAAATTGTACTTAAGTACAGTACTTGATTAATTGTACGATGCACACGCAATGTTTCTTGATCGTAATAAACCATAAATAATAAGAAGCTACCGACCAGATATCAGTTCTGAGCAACAATTTGGAAGCACAGCTACAGTATTACTGGACCAATGCTTCTGACTCATGGACCAATTAAACGTGCTCTTATGCACCTGCTGATGAAGCACCACCTCGCATCTATTTCATCCCAGGAATGAAAGGGAAGGAGACTTTTCTTTCTTTGCCACAGCGTCCCCCAAATGGATGATAACAAAAATATCAGATAGTGTGTATACCTTCATATTGTCCGACCCTACGTCTTCATTATTTGTCTTCCTCTGATGATGTGCAGCTACTGAAAGCACGGATGCGTCAGCAAACATCGTAGTCTGTCTCCTTGTTCAGCTCTCTGTCATCACACTGGATCTCTTAGCGCCAGCATATTTACACATTATGCTGAGTTATGTGTGTGTGTGTGTACGTGTGTGTGTGTGCTGTACCCATTTCAAATGCACTTGTCAAACAAACAAACAAAGAAAGACTGTTCAGCACAAGCTCAACATTAAAAGCACAACATGTTGTCTGAATAGAGGGATCGTGTTCAGCCCGCCGTACACCGGCGACAATCCAAACTACACCACAAACAAGCTGCCAGACAGAATCCAGGAGGGAAAGACGGGAAATAAGGACTTGCTTTTTTCCGAGCAGCCAATTACAGATTGTCAGGACATGGACATACACAGGAATAAAAAGCATGCAGCAACATCATGCTGTTTTGAAGAAGACTTGAAACTAGAGACTGAGACCATAAACTCATGTTTACAATGTTTACTGAGGTAATAAATCAAGAGAGAAGTAGAGTCATTTTCTCATAGACTTCTATACAACCAGAGGAGTCGCCCCCTGGTGGACACTAGAGAGAATGCAGCTTTAATACATGAAGTTTGGCTTCACTCTTGTGTGTGAAACGATAAGTCAGCGTTGATTTATTCATCACGTAACTTCCGTAGTTAACTAACGCCACTTCTGTAGTTATTTCAACCCAAACTAGGATATTTTCCGAAACCTAACCAAGAAGTTTTGTTGCTTAAACCTAACTAAGCTGTTTCCTGTGAGGACGGAAGTTTATTATTCCGCGGCTCTTACCTTGGGCCATTTGGGGTTGATGAGGCGTGCTTTGACAGCGTCGTCCAGAGCGGTGCTGTACTGACCCAGTCGGAGATAGGCAGCGGAGCGGTTGCTGTACAGGATGCAGTTTTGGGGGTCGGCGGTGAGGGCCTCGCTGTAGAGACGCACAGCCAGAGCGTACTCCCCCTGCTGGCAGGCCTGGTTACTGCGGCGCACTCGCTCAAGGAACTCTGCTTTGCTGAGGCCTGACGGACTGGGGGGGGCAGCCGGACGGTCGACCCTTTTCACCGACGGGGCTGAAGGGATCAGGGGGGAGGAAGAGGAGGAGGAGGAAGAGGGAGGAGGGTTGGTGGTTCTGCTGGTGGAGCGAGAACCAAACAGAGAGAACTGAGGAGCAGAAAGGGAGGTGGGGAGGACAAGGAGAACAGACGTTGGTTCATTTCTTCATTAGAGGTAAAACAATTATCCCATCAGTCCATCAACAGAAACAACTCTCATATTGGGAAACTGGAAAACTCCAAACTGGTTCTAACAGACGAGTCTTTGGCATGTAGTGATTACAAAGATATATATGTTATATATTATATTACTTTAATTGAAAGAAATTTAAGTACAAAAATGCCAAAGATGTGTTTTGAAACAGTTACACAAAGATCATGTATCATTCAGGTTAATTATATAAAGACTGACCCAAAGAGAAAAGGCCTTTTGCTCATAGTGATGTCGAAAACAAGCGAGACTGCCAGTGAATGTGCTTTTGGCTGCAGTTACGTAACTTATAAAAACATAAAAGAACAGGATGACACTGAAACTTCAGCAGCCTGATTTGCATGATACGATGCTGTAGTTTGCCAGCAAATGGGACACCAAACTGCTGCGTGCACTTTTCTGCTCGGTGGTAACGGAGTGAATTCCTCTGAGAGACGCAGAGAGAGAAGAAGTCAGACCGAGACTCAGATGAGGCTTCTGTTCTTCTCATTCAAACTTTGTGTCAAATGTGCTCACTGAGGTTTCCTTCTCTGCAGCTTCCACATCGAGACCCCGCCTCCCTCCCTGATCTGGCGTTTCCAAATTTGTCCTTTCACCAGAGCTTACACCAAGGCCTTCATTTTCTCTCTCTATTCCCCTCACACACACACAGACACACACACTTACAATATGCAGACTGGAGGGATTCCTAAAACTTGCAAATGCATCACCCCAACGGCTTTGAGCAGGAGGCGAGGACAGGCACTCAACACGACTCACTTTACATAAAACTGCAAGAAAACTTCAGGATGTTCGCACAGTCTCAGGAGTGTGACATGAGAGCTAATGCAGAAGACGCCACCAGGCATCTACTCTGTGCAGGTTGAGACCACTTCAAGCTAACACTGAACAGATAGCAAAGAAAGTTTACTGAGAAGAAACTTTATTTAGGAAACTAGTGCACGAGAAAAACCAGTACGTGTCACTGCTTCACACCGAAATGTAGCAGCTTATCCTCTTACAACACTTTGCATGATATCTTACGAATATGTTACTACTCATTGTTGTGTGTTTTTCCTATGAAAGTCCAGCTACACGTGTCTATTTGCGCTCTTTACATGCATACAGTCTTTTCAAAATAAAGGTCCCTGTTCACAGGAAACTATTTAATTAAGTTTAGAGAAAAAACTACTTTGTTAGGTTTCTGAAAAAGATCATGGTTTTGGGTTAAGTTATCTACGGAATTGGCGTTATTTAAGTTTGGATGTTATGTGACAATTAAATCAACGTTGATCCCAACAAGACCGTCACCTGGTTAAATAAAAAACAACAACAATATAAATGCTGTCAGGAATACAATTCGAATGGGAAGAAATACTGAATTTTTACCATGCAGAGTTCAATGATAACCGCTCAACATTTAATGGTAATTTTGGAAAAAAATAGGTCCTTTACGTCCGGCTGTAGTAGACAAAGACTTGTAATTTTCAGCTTTGTCGGCCAATGACGACTTTAAAGGAGACATTCTCATTTTCAGGTTCAAACTTAGACGCGTTTTGAGTTTCTACCAGAACATGTTTACATGTTTTAAATGTTCAGAAAAAACTTTATTTCTCTCACACTGTCGGTCTGAATACAGCTGTACTGACCCTCCGTCTGAATCGCTCCGTTTTAGCGCCCGTCTCTTTAAGACACCGTCCCGAAGGAGCCCAGACAGTTTTGATACTTTCACAGTATTTATAAAAGCACCTAGAGAACCTTTAGCGGCTGCAGCGAGCTAGCTAATCAACAGCTAGTCAATATTCAGACAAATATCTGTCAAACACGGCAGAGCTCTGTACGTTTTTCTGTATTTACATGTTTTCTGGAGCTAACAACACATTTGCCATCGAGCATCTATAGCTTGGCTCAATAACTATTTTATCCCGTGAATATAAAGACGACTTCTCTCCTCATTGTCTGGTTCTTGGCTCGTTTCATTAAGTGTGCCTCTGACAGATGGCGATGAGATTCGTTTGGAGACAATCAACCATGCAGACTGTAAAAAGCGAGATTGAAGTCTTAGCTGTACGTGTTCCTCTGAGCTCTGGGTACCAGTCAACTGATGAAATCCTGATACTTAAATTAAGAGTCCAGGACTTTGGAAGTACTGAGGTCAAAGACTAAATCCCGCTATTCCCCCAAACACCAGAGAGACTGTTTCAAATAGTTTGAATTATTGAAATATTTAGATTTTTCCTGATTTCATTCATAAAGTTAGATATTAATTATATAATATGAAATGATTTTTCTGCAGGTTTCATTTAAATGCAGGAGAGTTTAAGTGATTAGCGGAACATGAGTTGCTGCTGTTGATCATCAGTTGATCAGTTGATCAGTTCTTATCTTTGTGCTGTTGAACCAACGAAACTATTTAAGAACGTCAATGTCAGAATTTATAAACTTATTTTCTGGATTTATACAAAAGAATAATCAGCAGATTACATTATTCGATAACATCAAATAATCAGTTGCATCTGTAAAGTGGAGCAGTTCTGTCAAAGAAATGAAGAACAGCTTATGAACTCGACTAAACTCAAAGTAAAATAACTGGGTCACAACTTCTACATTAAATGTTCCCATTTTATTCCCCAACATAAACAAGCATGTGCCTCTAGAGTTATTGGGTTTATTTCATTTACATAGTTTTGGTAAGTCATCTGTTTATGCATCTTATTGTCATTAAGCCTTTGGAGCGTGAAACAGTGTTCTTTGTCTGTTTATGTTGTTTGTATTTATTGCTGTAACAATGTTTTTCTTGTTCAGGTTTTTCTTCCTACAAAGCTTTCTCCGGGAGTAGAACTCTGGTGTGAAGAAATACTCGCATCCTTGCAAATAAATCCCAAATTGACAGAGGAGATAATATGAAGCACATGATCTGAGAGTCCTCGGTGGCTTCGGCCCTGAAGAGTGCTGCGACGCGCTGATGATAAACTCACTGAGCAAATTCACACAATTCACAGTCCTCTGACAGCGGCCATTTTTCAGCCGCTCTCTCCAGCATGCCATCGCGTTTCATCAATGTGTCACGTTGTTATGAAACACTTGTTCAAATATGACAATGTGATGTAAAGCAGAGCTGTTTGTAACATGTTCCCTGGGCGTTGTTTGCAGGAATAAACAAAGACGGCCACACATCACGCGTGTGGAACTAAGACGTAAATCTCTAAGCCGATTACTGTAGAACTAGGACACAGTTAATAGAGAGCAAGAAGAGCAATTACTGAGTTCAAGTGTGCACTTTTGCAATCGCACAGTTTATGTTACTGAGTAGGTTGTATATATATAATATAAATGTTGTGTGACAATGTTCTTTAAACAGACGATTGAGCCGTAATCCTCTGTGTGTTATTGCCTCACTGCTCTTATGATGATGATGCTCAATCAGGGAATCGGTTGCTTTTAAGGTAAACGCCGACTTTTATTACAGTTTTTACTTTTGGACTTTACACCACGATGAATAGCACATAAATTCATACCTATTGCTCTCTTCTTTCATTATTTACACAACTATTTCTGTCAATTTTCATGTGAACAAAACTATGAATGTCTTCCACGGGAGACTGTCTGAAAATATTGAAAGAATATCATGTCACCTGCACCCTCTCAATGAGAACCAAGCAGGTAAAACCACTTTTGATTTCCAACGTGTTCAGACGACACTTCTGTTCAAGCTTTGTACTTCTCTCTCTTTTAGCTCTGTTTTTCGTCTCCACCTCCTCCTGAGGGAAATATCTGCCTTTTTAGTTGCTAAATGCTAAGCTAGTTCACCAGCTAACTGTGTCTGCCTGCTGTTTTGCTGCTGAGCAGGTAGCGTACGGCGAGGTTTTCTCTGAAAACAGCGGCCTGCTGCTGCCAAAACAACCCTGACGAGAGCAGCGAGAGTGAAGGAAAACAGAAAGGCTTCTAGCTGTAAACCAAATGAGGTGAAACTCTAAATAAAGCTCCGCAGAGCTGAGGGAAGCTGCAGAATGAGGTGATAAATCCCGGTATTTGAGCAGTCATTTTATCCTCTGTTCATATAACAGTGTTCACTATATCGGCTTTAAAGCACTGAGCAGCTCCTTCTAAAGAAAGCCTATTAAGAATAAGAGGAAACTCATCTCTGATGCATGTTCACGTAAAACAATCTGCTCAAAATTCATTCTAATCGCTCGCTTTACAGAAACTTTGTGCAGTTATTGCGTTAACTATTTGGGTTTATTTCACAGTTCATTAGCTGTTCTCTACTGTTACTGTTACACATTGAATATAATATGAAATATCCATCAAATACAGACTTTACTCAAAGATGAAAAGAGGTTTGTTTAGGAAAAAAGGCTTAAAGTTAAAAAAGAATACTTTTCTATTCAGTAAACTTTAACTGTACTTTAAAACAGTTGTTCACTTCAGTTCTTCAAATGTCATCACATGGATTTGAAGTGTGAACTGTATAAAATATCTGTAACTGTGATCTACTGTGTGTGTAACCTCCTTTATCTGGATGAGAGTCGTTTTGTCACGCGTCTGTGTTGTTTGATATTCATGTAGCAGCTAATTAAAGGTACTGCCACACACACACACACACACACACACACACACACACACACACACACACTAAGTCACCTAGCAGGACATTTCCACTGTTGTTTGTGTCATTGCTGATGTATGCAGCGGTGGAAGAAGTAATTTGATCTTTCAGTTTAGTAAAAATAGTGAAACCACAGTGGAAAAAACTGTTACGAGTAAAAGTCCTGCATTTAAAATTTGTCTTGAGTTAAAGTACAAAAGTATTTTGCATCAAAATATACTTAAAGTAACAAAAATGAAAGTATTTTGCAGAAAAGTCCATTTCAGAACATTATTATTATTATTCTTTGAATAATACAGCTGCTAAATGCGGGCCTAATTTTATTTTATTTATTTATATTTTTCAAATTATACTGCTTGGCAGCTTGTATATTTGTCCTTGAGAAGTTTTCTTTGATTATATTTTGTATAATTCATCTGAACCTGCAGAGTAACTTCACTTACCAAATAAACTGCAATATGGTAAAAAAAAAAAGTACAATATTTGCCTCTGCGATGTAGTGGAGTAAAGTATTATATTGAGTATTTGTAGTTTAGAAAAAAGTGTGAATGGGAATTTGCAAACACATACACACACACACACACACACACACACACACACACACAGTCTCCTGTCTCACTCTCTGCCGGGTCAAAGGGAGAACATTCCTGAAGAACAACACAGAGACACCGACACAAACCGGGGGGCTGAATACCTGAAGGAGAGGAAGCCGTGTCCCTGAACGCAGCGCTTTGATCTGTTAATATAAGTCACATTGTAGGGGGAGACATTGAAGGCAACACACTGTTATTAGTTGTGATCATATTTAGCTCCTCCTTTACCAGCTGTGATATTAGAGCTGACAAGATGAGTTGATTCATCGATTAGTCAATAAACAGGAAGTTAATTTAATATATTGATAATCGACTGATGGTTTCAGTCCTTTATAGGATTCATTTCCTGGTTCCAGCCTCTTTTCTTTTTCATATATATAACAGTTAACTGAGTACTCATTAAGCACTGGTGGAAAGTACTCAAGTACATTTACTTAAATGCAATCTTGAGGTACTTTAACTTTACTTGAGTATTTCAACTATATGCTACTTTACACTACTAATCACACATCACAGAAAGAGTTTACTCCAGCTTTACCAATGATATAATGTATATAATAAGAGACCATTCTGCCCAACAAGTACTTTTAATACTTTAAGTATATAATGCTGTTAATACTACTCCTAATTCAGAGGAATCTTGTGTACTTTTACTTGTAGCAGAGTAGTTCTGCACTTTTACCTGAGAAAAACATCTGAGTAACTACCTCTTCCACCACTGGCATTAAGGCATTGATCAGTATTTCTTCTTCTTATGTTAACACATAATCAATTATGTATTAATTATGTAAACAATAAGATACATTATCTTGGAAGGGGGGGAGAGGGGCTTTAATGTGTGCAAACTCCAGCCAGTGGTTTCTAAATAAATCCTGCAGGATGCCAGTTCATCATGACAACCAACTTTTCCTTTCTTCTGCCAGCCTCCTGCAGGATCGCACTGCTGCCTCCCACACCAGACCAGACACAGCGGCGGCTTCGTGAGACCACCGAATAAAACACGCAGCGCTCGTTTTCCTCACTTTTACCTTTTCTTTCCTCGTTCTGTTCTTTTCCATCCTGCTCTCGGCTAAATCCGGCAGCGACAAACGTTCATCCCAGTGAGGACAGGAAAAAACACACCATCCAGAAAATAAAAGCAGAATACGAGCCTCCACCGCAGTACTGTAGTTTATCCGCTTTGACTTGATCGATACGATGGGGGGACTTGTCCGCTACGGAGAGATCCTGCTCACTTTTTCCTGGAGGAAGTGAATCCAGAGTATGTGCGCCATGTTCCCACAGCCGAGCTTCTCCTCCCCATAGCGGAGCGTTTGTCCGGTGAGGGAGGCGGGGATCCGGTCGGCTCCACGGCCTTCAGCCTTCAGCAAGGTTTCAATTACTCCTCATGACATCAGAGAGGAGTTGAGTTACCTGACAGATATTCATTACAGCGGGCCTGTTACTCACTGCTGCAGACACACACACACACAGATAGATAGCGCCATTAATACCGCAAGGGGACATGTTTTCGCTACAGTAGCAATTATGAAATTAATTAATGATTAAAAAATATTAAATATTAAAATGCAAATATCAAATGCACAATATATACAACGACATAGAATCATATTAAATGAACTAACTAAACAGAAGTACAAATATTCAACCAAACAACAAACAAAGAAGTAACAGTGTTTTAGTTTAGTGATTAGTTATGTGTTAGTTATGTGTGGTGGGTTAAGTGATGATGCTTTTTGTGGGTTTTTCTTGTGGAATCAAAGAGCACAGTTTATGTGTTTTTTTTACTTTTACTTAGTCAAACAAACAAACACCAACAAGACAATACATAATTAAACACGTGTAACTTAAATGGCAGGAAACAAATAGTGTTTTTAAGAATTTATACATTTTTTATAAATTAATCAACATTTTGAGTTGATTTTGAGACTTGTTGGAAAGATTGATCCCACTCTGGTGTTTATTAGTGACTTAGTGAGCTTACAGTCTTTATGCTAAACAAGGCTAATCAGCTAGCTTCATATTTACAGTACAAACATCACACATAATACATACGAAAACCCAAGTGTAAAAACAACAATTTGCTGTTTTACAAGCCAGGATAGTTGGCCACTCATCCCAGTCTTTATGCTAAGCTAGGCTAACTGGCAAGCTTTTTATTACTATGCAGACATCATACACAGTGCGTAAAAACAACAATTTGCCATTTATGAGTCAGGCTAGTGCTGAGCTAAGCTAACCTGCTATAGCTTCATATCCAGCATACAGACCCAACGTGTTGTTGATTTACTCATCTCACTCTCAGCCAGAAAGCAAAATCCCAAAATATCAAACTATTCTTTTTAAGTCGTACAGTGTTCTTGCATCATAAACCAAATATTTCACCAAGTGTCTTATGTACAGATATTTACATAACTGTTTTTCACACTTTAGCTTTGCTAATAACATCATTTGTATTTATATACAACTCATACAACACAGTAGCCTACAAATATTCACAAATAGGGCTTTTAACAGTGGAGACAACTGACGTATTACTGCATAAAAAGGTTGGTAAACTCATGATCTCAAGGCAAAGTTACACTGATATCAAACTCACAGACCCTTTTCATGGCAGACATTTAGACATTTAGTCGAGTCTACAGCCATATTCAATGCTAATGTCAACATGCTAATAACAAAGCTAACATACCAATGTTTAGCAGGTGATGTTTACCATGTTCACCATTTTGGTTTAGCATGTTAGCGTGCTGATATTTGCTAATTAGCTCTGAATAAAAAGCACAACTGAGGCCGATGGTAATGTCATTGGTTTTGGAGAAAGTCTTCAAACCACATATGTCAACCTCATGTTGGCACAAGAGGAAAAAGTTAGTGGATGATTAAAATCGGTAGGATTCATCCTCTGGGGACCATGAATGTCTGTATCAAATTTCATGTCAATTCATCCAGTGTTTGTTGAGATATTCCCGACAACCATCACTAGAGTTAAGCTAACAAGGAAGCACAGATATAACTAGTCACTGTAATGGTGCCTCAGTTGTATTCAGTGTCCCGGGAGGTTATTCCAGTAAGCTAGCATGCATAATAGCAGCGCTCTTGAACTGGCACACCTGAATGAACTAATATTAAAGTCATACCTGTGCTGTTGCTTTTAAGACACGTCAAAATATCTGCTGTGAAAAGGGGTTTGTTATTCTTGAGGGAAAAGTTTCTTCCAACAATTCGGTCAAAACTGAGTTCTATTACGATTCTGATGTAGACGATATAAACACGTTATATTACAATATTATACGGAGACCCAAAGTGTTCAATATTAAGTAAATCGATTATTATATGACGCAGATAAAAACATGTTGTATGATCATGGAAAGTTTTAAAACTCAGCTCTTCATCAAGATTTGTTTACAATTTGTTGCAGGTCATTTTTATTACAACGTAGCAGTTTTTAGGTATTGTATTTATAAACTTTCTGTTTCGTCTGTTTGTTTTTTGTGATCTTGTTGGAAATAAGAGTTAACAAAAATATGTTCCTTGGAATGGTGTTGTTTGTTGGTCCATGAATAAATGAAATCAGACTAAACTTAAAATGATCTGTCTGGTCATTGAAAACAAATTAATATCTAGTCACACTAACAGCTGACCCACGTGCATCCTGACCCTGTGTTCTGGTCCTGTTCTGGTTGAGTCTGGCCCGGACCACCCTGAGACACAGTTTGTGGAGCCGGACGGTTCCGTCTTTCCTCTTCGCTCTCCTCACGTTTGGCCTCCTGACCTTCAGTGTGACGGCCTGTAGATGGCGCTGCTCCTCCGTGTCTGCTCGGCTCCTCTGGTCCTCCTGAGGAAGCTCTGCTCTCACTAGAACTGCTGTACAGCTGTGCAACAAAGAAGAAGAAACGGTTGTTTTATCATGCCGTCACTTTAACTTTCTGAGGTATTTGTACTTGCGTAGTTCCATTTAATGTTACTTTATACTTACATTTCAGAAGGACATATTGTACGTTTTACTCCACTACATTTATTTGACGCCTATAGTTACTTTGCAGACTAAGCTTTTACATGATACGATTTTTAAAAAACTTCTCAGATGTTTAATTTTAAAACATTTTCAAGGCCCAAAGAGGCAAAAGGAGCGAATATATTTTCTTTATTTTTTTGGAGAAAAATGTATGTAAATGTGAACTTTATTTTTTCTTCTTCGCTCTCACATTACCAATAATTGGAGGGTTCCCAGGTTGGGAACCATTGGACCAGTGGTTCTCATGACCCCTCAGATTTATCTGGTGACCCTCTGGAGGGGCCCCACTCCTAGATTCGAAACCACTGGACTGAACTAACTGTATATAAAGTATTTTAATGAAAATACTTTGCTTACTTTAATAGATCATTTGAATGAAGTTTTTTTCACTTGCAATTGATTTATATTTATACATTGTCGTATTGGTATCTTTACTTCTGTAAAGGATCCCAGTACATCTTCAATCACAGACATACATCCACAACTGTCTCTGCATACTTACATCTTTCCTGCCGTGCAGTCTTGTGTCAGGAAGCAGGATTGAGACACACGTCCCAGCAGAATAGTCTGTACTTCGGTCAGTTGTCTCTGTTTAGCCAAAGACTGGAATACTCTGGTGAGGACAGACCAACACGTCAGAGACCAACAGACACAAAAAAGAGAGAGACCATGTGTGCAAACATGAGATTATGATAATGTCCAAGGCCGGCAAATCAGTTCTGTGCAGATTGAGAGAACCCACACACCTTATGTAACCGTGTGACTGTGAGCGTATGTGTGCACTGCTTGTGGCCTACTTCTGTGTTATGACCCATCGCACCACGTCTGTCTGTCTCGCACAGAAATAAAGGTGAGTGCACCGGTATCACCATGTCTGTATAAACTCTGCAAATAGCCCCGTAAATATTTACTGTAGACATGATGTGACACACACACCCCCATGTCGCTGAATATCATCCTGATCAGGCGCTCCTGCCAAAGAAATACTCCACACTACTACATTTCCATTGTAAATGCAAATCTTTTGCTACGTTTACGCCCAGCGTCCACACTACCTTTGAGTCTTAAACCCCCAAATACAGAGGGGTTTGAAAACACTACCGACAGCGGGCTGCCACAGGGTTGCCTCTTATAGTGCATTGTAACTCAATTTGAAAAATAAAACTTGGGGGTTTTTTCAACAAAATGTATTTGTTGAAATGGATAGAGGAAGATTTTAGAAGATCTTAAGTATCAAGCACAACCTTTTATTATTAAAGAGAACTGTAAAACTGTCGTGTTTTCTGTAATGAAGCCACCAGTCTACTTCCTGTTTACACCTTCACCCACGTGCCCGGTGTACGTGAATACTCGTGTGATTTCAGACGTGCAAGTATGGACGTCAATAACTGCTAAAACGATGCTGAAACTCACGTGTGGACGGAGATTGTTTTTGTTTTAAAACCCCAGTTTTAAACGTATTAGTGTGGACATATAGCCTCATAATGCGAACAAAAAAAATCTGAGTTCTTCGTATGATTGGTGTTGATTGTCTTTGTT